TTGAACTCACGTTCGGCACGATAAAGAAAATAAATCTTGACGCCATCAATTGTGGAATATCATTTAATGATATTTATTTGAGCTATTTGGGCTGGGACGTGCACAGACTTGGCAAACAAATCATCAGAATTATCATTAGCTAGATACAACTATGTAAATTTATCAACAACTTTTGGCAATGATGGCAAAGTAAATATATGAAAAGTTCTGATTCATTTTAGGGCATGGCTATAGCAAGTGAACATCACGTGTTTTGGTATCAGGCTGATTACCTGCGAGATTTGAGTTCTTTTAGATATTTCTGCAGCTTTGCAATATATATATATTAATTAACAAAATATTAGAATAAACTTTAGAAAAACATTTTTCACAGCGATGCAAAGCGGAAAGTTTGTCCTTCGTTTACTTTCCAGCTAATAGACTTTAATTGATCATTACTTAGATAGATTTATAAATTTATAAATATCAAATAGATTCTATATATTACCGGAGCATTAGCAAAATCATATTAGATAGCTCTAAGTGCTCCCATTAAACTCTGCAAAAATTATTTTAAGTATGAAAAAATTGTTGCACTGTTTAATTGAAAGTAATTAATTGGTTTTTATCACATCAGAAAGATAAACGGACTTCAATGAGCTGCAGCTATTTTACAATTTAACGTGCATCAAGTGAATGCAAATTGAAAAAATATATGAATTTATTATCTTTCTTGAAATCGAATTGGAATTTCGCAGCTCGTTTTCGTGGTCATATGAAATATTTGCTGGACGTCGCCCACCACATCCGAGCTGCATATCAGTATGCACATTAAAAATTATTTACATAAATACGGCAAAAGTTTTAAGTTCAGTTTCCATTTCGCTTTGGCACTCAAATTAAACTGCGTGAAATGCAAACATTTTTGCCCATAAAGTGATTATTTTTCCGACTCTAACTGAACTCTGCAAATAAAACCGAAATTAACTAAAGCTTTGCCTGCATTTATTTAATTGGGTTTCTCCAATCATTTCAATCAAACTATCAAAGCAAACTGAATTCACGAAAATCAAAAATCGAACAACAAGCCAAACAGACGGGCATAACTGACTGCAGAATGCTTGTGCAGGGCACTAAAACCACGACAAGTTGATGTCTTGATATACCCGATCTGCCAGCTCTAAAGATAGATCAGATAATTTGTTGATCTATTGGTAAAGGAAAAGTAGAGGAGAAAAGTTCTAAGGCTATAGAGAAGATACAGTCTTTGCCACGCCCTCAAAGAGTACATATATATTATCGTTGGTAAATCTATAGAGTATAATAACAGTTAGTCCTATCGGCCAAGACAGAAGTACTTACTCAGAAGAGAACTCTCACAAAGAGAGACCTCAAGTTTTCGATATAACAGACACACCTCACCCAAAACCAATATACTCTCCACATCTTTCGTAAGCGCGCATAGAAATATAAGAGAAACCAAAGCAAAGCAAATCAGAGCAAAGCAGGAGGGACGTGGCTGAATGGCACTGTAGAGGGAGCTGCTACAGAGTTAGCCATAAATTAAGTTTGACAAAATTACACACACAAATATACAAACACACACGCACACACAGTTAGCACATTAAAATCCAAATCACGAAGCTGGAGGAGCAATTTCAATTAAAGCTAATTACAGCCAATATCGAATGCCAACAATGTCAAGCGTCAAAGGCGCAGAGCACGACGAGCTCGAAAAGGACGACGTTGCGACATTCGATGTGGACAGCGACAGCGATTTGGCAACACACTCGGATGCGGCATCAGCGGTTGTGGGCGAGCGAACTGTCCGTATCGCCGGACTGTGGCACAGTTATGGATGCGATGCGTTACACTGCGCGAAATCGGGCTAATGTGAAGCGACTTCTAGTGTTGAAGTCGTGCCTACCGAAGCCTGAAGAAGCTGTAAGAGAGGAGGTCAGCTGAGCAAGTAGAGTTGTGTCAGTGATCAGATCAAAGAGATTTTTATTCATAATAAAATAGTCTAAGAGTTCTATATTTTTTTAGCAATATTTCGATAATATAAGAGAAGCTCAACAGCTGTCCTTATGGAATATGCAGATATATTAGCCTTTCAGCTATTGGGAGTTAGAGTTAGAGGTGAATAAATCTCTACTCCTATAAAAAATAAATTCAAGAAAATAATACGGTCATGCCTTGCGATAGGTCAATTAAAGTCTCAATAAAATGCGATCATACTGATTGATATAAGATAAGTGTTTACAATAAAACTAGAATACGGTCACACACTTAGGCCATTCAATAGCTTTCCAGTGCTGTCAATCACGCGTCCATCTCTAATACCAGCAAAAGCCCCAAACCCATGGGAAATTTCTAGTACAGAGAAAGGGTAAAGAACGCATCCGAAATCTAATCTTCAACAAATTTAGCCGTTAAGCTGAAAGAAGGAAACTTTTTGCCAAAGGAAAAACACACTCTGCCCGATGCATGTCAACAGATAGGGAGTGCAGCGCGCCAGGTGAGGGTGAACAGACACCTGTGTGGCAAGGAGTTAGAATAAAAAATTTCAGCTCGCGGGCACAACTAAATGTCGCTGTCGCCAGCAACGCTAGCATTCGTGTCCACAACTGATTTTGTGGATTGTTTGGGGTAGCGCGAGGGGAGACGTTGCTGACAGGTAGATGATGACGCTTGCTGCAGTTGCCGTTGCCATTGCCACGAAATAATTAAAGCAAATTTGCACTTCAGACAGTATGCCAGAGCCGGCGACCCACAACAACACAACAAGCAGAGCTCGCCCAGGTGCTCGACAAGTACAGAAACAACCACAGGCCGCATCCACAGCCACATCCACACGTCCACACACGCACACACTCACACGTTCACACATTTACATTCACAGCGAAAGCCAGAGCCAACGTCAACAATAGAGAACCACGCACAACAACGCCAGTCAGCCGGCAAACTATGCGAGGAAAAAACACATTGAAATTACATATATACACATGCATACATGCACACATGCATATACATACATACACCCATATATATAATATGGAGCATAGCCAACAATGGCAGAGACACGCCCAGGGGCGGACTACTCAGCCAAGGAGTTGTCAAGCACACATAAAAGCGTTAAAAACAAAATAAAAGCGTAAAAAATAAATATAAATATAAATATAAATATAAATATAAATATAAATATAAATATAAATATGAAAACAAATATTTAAGCTCAGCTCAAGTTAAGCTTAAATTCCTTTTTTTGTTATGATTGTTGCCGTAACTAATTAATTTGAAATGAAAGCTGACACAGTTTGATGCAGCCTTTAAATTAATACTAATATAATTAATTATCAACTAATTAGCGCTGCTTAAAGATTTCTCAAGAGCTTACGAACAGCTGAAAGTATTCAAATTGCTTTTGATATGCATTGATATGAAATGATTGATATGATTGTCTTGGAATAAAAAGACTTTAAAGTTCAATGAAAAGTTTGTTGAATATATATTCAAAATTTTCATATCTATATAGATTAAATACCTTTTTCCCATTTCAAATTAACACCAAATTTTCACTTTTAATCTATATTCTTTGAATATATTTTTCTATATTAAAGAGTAAACTTTACATAGATTATGACAGTGTTAATTTGAAATGTGACAAAATAGTTCTTTTTCTATGCATTTCATACAATTTATTAGTTTCCAGTTTAACTTCTAATTCTAAGTATTGCGCGAGCTTCAGAATTTCTTCAGACTTTTATTATTATGAGAAATATAATTTATACATACATACATTTCAATGATATATGTGATATATATGATTTTAAATTCAAATATAAATATATATTTTAGATAAATATATAAATTAGTGGCGTCAACGGAACTTCCTGTTGACCATCTCCGCAGATCTGTCATAAAAATATGAAGCAACATAAATAAAAAAATATATTTTTTACATATTTCTATCATCTTTTCTTATATATAAGCTAAATTTATTTCTTCAATATAAGAACTTTCAAATTTAATTTTAAAATTCATTTTTAAGTTCTTTTCTTTTAAAGAAAACTCAAACAAAACAGTTAAAATATTTTACAAAACTCATAAATATAAATTTTTTTTAAAATAAAAAGTACAACTTTAACAATAAATTGAAGTTAACATTTTATAGTTATTTTAAGTTCAATTTGATTGTGCTTAATGTTTTGGTAATGTTCGAAGGCGCCAAATATTGGTGGCTGAGACGGCAGTTCGCCAATGCTCGCGGGCCTGGGAAACGAGAGAACACAAAACACGAAGTAAAACAGTGAGAAACCAGCTAGCGACAACAACAACAGGAGTAGAAGCTATGGGAGCGGGAGCAAAATATAGATGCTGAGCGCAACAAGGAGCAGTGCTTCTATAGAAATGCCAACGCAGCAGCAAAAACAACAACAACAACAACAGCAAATACAAGGGAAATGAGAACAACAGTGAATGGCAACAATAAACTGAGCTTGCGCCGAAATTTGAAATGTGTGAAAGCAGCGCTGCTCTCTGCTCAGCAACGAAGCTGGGAGACAACAATGGCGAGATGGCAACATAAAATCATGTACATACATACAAGCGAACATACGAGCAGAGACACACGTACACGCACACACACAGTGAACCGGCAGCAGCAGCACGAAGTCGCAGTCGTGTTCGCTGTTCGCATTGAACGGTAAAAGGCGAACAGCAGGAATAGCTCCCAGAGCTTCAGATTCAAAGTCATATTTCGCATGGGTGTGCGTGTGTGTCTGTGTGCGTGTGTCGATGGTTCAAAAAAAAGTTTTCAACTTGAAATTGAACTGTGCGAATTGAAAGAAGAAGCAGCTGGCAATCACACAAGAGACAGACAAATTGGAGAGCGCAGTGAGCTATCATTGTTGCCGTTGCTGTTGTTGTTGTTGTAGCGGATGCTGTTGTTGTGGGAGCAAAAATATTTTAACGCAATTAGAGACCGAAGCATCGTCGTCGCATCAGATCCAGAGCGAACGCGCACGCAGACGGACACGGCGCACGGATAAAATCAAATAAAAACCGTAACACGCAGCACAGTGTTTTTTGTGTGATAGCTTGAAACTCCATAAACCCAATTTTGCAAAAACCGTAGCGAAACGTGCGCCTGCGAGTGAGTTAGTGAGTGAGTGAAATCATAGTAAATGCAAAGCGGCTCAATTAACTGTAAAAAGCAGCTTCAGCAAGAACAAACTATGAGGTGTGAAGAGTAGAAGAGTGAAAGAGAGAGTGAACGAGAAAGAGAGCGAGATAGACGAGCGCAAACAATTTGTTGAATACTGTAGCGTTCGCACTAGCGACCGAAAGAAAGCAAAAGTGAAGAATATCACACAAACACACACACAGACTCAGGCACACACACAGATACGTAGTAAGAACAGTGCTATGCATGTATTTGTGTAACTACTTAATACAGATGCAAATAAAGAATTTCAATACACACACGCACATAGGCAGGCAAAAAAAAGTGTTGCCAACTAAAGTTGAGTGGAAAAAAACCACAGCAAAGCACAGTAACATTGGCGGCGCATAAGTTAAAAAGGACAAAGACGATTAAACAGCTTTGCTCTTGGCGACAGCGGGAGAAGCAGCAGCAGCAGCGGCAGCGGCAGAAGCAGTACGAAAGGTGAGCGCAAAATAAGTCATGCAAAAAGGCAACAACTCAAGACAGGCGGCCGAGCTGACAAGGGGTGGACTGGGCAAGCAGTGTCAAGAAAAACGCCCGAAACAGATTTCTTTCCTTTTTTGCTCCTTCTTGAAGTGACAGTCGTCGCCTCGCCAAAACGACTCGAGAGGTGACAGCGACGATGGCAGCGCCACTAGCAACGACGGCGGCTGGTATCATTGCGTGCCTTCGTATGCTCGGGTTCGGATTGTGGGGTGTCGTGCGTGCTCGCGAGTTACGCACGAAGACGTCCGCCTTTTGGCTCTCCCACACAACTGTTGTGGTTGTTGTTGTTGTTGCTGCAAACACACTTAACACAAGCAAAAGGCAAAGCGAAAGAGCAACCTGCAAGCCTAAAACAACAACCGCAACAACAACAATTACGTTGATGTCAGCAGCAATGGCGGCGACAACGGCAGCGGTGATAACTCATGTCCTACTGACATTTTTGGGTCAAAAACTAAAATATTATGTGTGCTATCCACCTCCCTCCCTCCACCCACTGTGCCTTTTGTGTTGCTTAGCTGTAACTGTATTTGTATTTGTATTTGTATTTGTGGCTTGGCAGTCAATATTTTATGCGTCTGCTCCGTCTGTTGCTATCCCTGTCGCGCTCTAGCTCTTTCACTCCCCGCATGCTTCTGTCACATTCCGACAGATTAAAATTGCATCCGGTTAGAGCAAACAAAAGTGTTTTGGCTCCGTTTGTAACATACAAAATTACCACGCAAGGCGCGCAGAGGTTACAAAAAAAAGGGGCGATACAAACAACGACAACATCAAGCAGCGAAAACAAACAAAATGGCGGGCAGCAAAAACAAAACACGAAGAAAAAAAACAACAACAAAAATGAATTCAGAGTAAAAGTCTTAATTGAAATTTTTGCTTGAAATATGTGCAATGGGATTTTTACTGGGCGCTGTGTGTGTGTGTTCGCTGCTACCTAAAAATGGAAGCAAGGCCATGAAGTCGAAATGCCAGCGACACGTTTCCCATGTGTGAGTGTGCGAGAATCTCTGTGTGTGGGTGTGCGTGTGTGTGTCTGTGTTTTTTAGCATATCTTTGCCAACGGCAACTTTTGTTTGCCAGTCATGGCAAAAGTCGCTGGGTGCGCCCTCCTCCACAAAGGACACAATCTTGAATGACTTTTTGTTGTCTTTGTATTTGTAACAACATTTTTCAGCTTGGCGTGCAAATTGCTGCTGCTGCTGCTAAGCTGTTGTGCTGTTGTTTAGCAGCCAAGGCATCTCTTTGTATCCGTGTTACGGTACAAAGGTAATCAACGCTAAGCCAAATAGCCAAAAGCTGAATATTCGATGAAGAGCAATTACATCGCCTTTACAAAATATGCCAAACAATTTATTCCAATTTCTTATCAGCGCGAAAAACGTGTACATTGCTGCATATAATATGCACGCGATTTATAGCTTTTGCTTGTGCTAACAAATTACAAAATTTATATTAAAATGTGTTTCCTCAAGATAAATCAAAAAAGTAATACTACAAAACTGTTTGAAATATATAATATATATTATATAATTATAGTTATTTATGTATATATGTATATATATTTATATATTTATATATGTATATATATAGATATATTTATATAGATATATATTATTATAGATAAATCAAAAATGTAATACTACAAAACTGTTTGAAATATATAATATATATTATATAATTATAGTTATTTATGTATATATGTATATATATTTATATATTTATATATATTTATATATTTATATAGATATATATGGTGTGACAAAAGCTGATCACACAACATTTTTCACAAACTCGAAACAATTTTTCTAATCTATGCATTATTACTCATACGCATAGTTGGCAATGCTCAAATACATGTCGTACAAGTTGAGTAATGCCTTAAGCTGACTCAGTCTCAAGATTGATGGTAAATGGTCACCCTAATCAATTGTCTTGTCAAGCAATTTGTTAGTAATTCTTTTGAAATGAAACTACATTTTCGTTGCATACTTTTGTGAGCAGCCCTTGTGACAGAGCTTAAGTGGCAGAGTGAAGGACTTATTGGGTGTGGATAGACATTGTTAAATATAGATATTCCCATGATGATGTTTTCAACTTAGAATGAAGATGCCTGGCAAAGGATGAACTGAAACTTAGTCGAGACTTTAAAATTCTCACGTGAGAAACTTTAGGCAAGCGAATTTGTAATGAAACTTCTGGGAAAATAAAACAATTGTTCAGAATATTAAATGATATTGAGTACATATTTTATAAATCAATTTTTAATAAATGAAAAAAATTAATAATACTTTAAAGTAATCTAAATTTTAAATAATTTTAAATATCTTTATATTTTTATTTATCTAAATCTATCAAGATCTTGTCCATCTATATCTGTCTATCTATGAATCTTCCTAACCCAATTCACCCATCTACGTATCTATAATTATTTGTCTATCAGTCCTTCCATGTTGCTATTTATTTCTGTATTGAGAGAGGCGCTAAAGACTTACAATATAAAGTCTAGTATGAGTTATTCAGATGTATATTTGGAATGCTAAAAAGAAGTTTTATATCTACGGCTTTGAAACTAGTAATACCAATTATTAGAGCTCGATATTTGAACCACTCTACTGATTGACTTATGGATTAAAATTAGCTTACAAAGTTGCTTGGATATAAATTATTATTTATTTAGCAGACTCCAACTGTTACTCTAAGTAAAATCATATACTTTATTTGTATAATCTTTAGCTCTTTTCGCAGAGTTCTCGTTCGTTTAAAGGTTCCTCTAAACATAAAAAGGCAGCTGGTTGTCTGTATAGCTCTATGAACATGCTTCCACTGCTATGATTTGCCGACTTGTCCATTGACAAATGTTTCATCTGTGCTGCGCCACGCCACGCTTTAACCAGTGGAAAATTCTATAGTTTTCTACAGTTGCATAGCGAGTGTAGCCATGGTGCTGTTGGCAAGTTAGTTTTTCATCATTAAAAGTTTTTAGCTAGTTTTCCGCATGAATATTTTCAATTTTTAATTTAGCATTTTATTAAACTATATTTTTAATTTATATCTTGTTGGCTACTATTCCATCAAATATATTGCAAGCGTAGACTAACCAAGAGTTCCTTCAATTTCAAAAGTTTTTTTTATTTTCAGAGCAAACCAATTTATTAATACCATTGAACCTTAGTTTTATTGCTTTTATCATATTGCAAAGTTTACTCTCAATACATACATTGAATGCTTATAAAAATATATATGCCAAATAGTTTTTATCCATCTTTGACTATGTGTGCTCACCCACCCTCACCCCCACTCTGCCACTCAGTTGGAGAGATAAATTGTTAACACAAATTGTAAAATAACTTTTTTACCACAACTTTTGCACTCTGAATATGTTTTTAGTATTTGCTCAGCACTCGCAAGTGGCTCGAATTCAAAAATCAATTGATTCACATTTAATTTATGCCATATTTTAAGAGTTCATTTAAATGGAAAACAATTTGTCAGACCTTTCGGCCCCCTCACGCCTCTCGAACCTTCGCTGATAAATTGAAGCGTGCATGGCAAGGTGAAGTATTATTGCAGCACTTGCAGCGCTGAATAATCATTTAGCTGATTGCTGGACATAAATCCAAATAAGCTTTTGATGATGCTGCACGCAACGTCAAATTCATTTGGCTTTAATAAAAAGAAAATTTGAATCGAATAACGAACTGGCTTTGCCTGTCAAATGAGTCTGGGCGGGGCGTGTGACGCGTTATCAAGGCATTTTCTTTTATTTTCCAACAAAAAAAAAAGAAATGGGCACAAAAACGTATCAAAGGTGGCCACGCCCACATACAGTCAACGCCCACTTGACTTTATCACAGTGTGTGCTCCATAAAACGGCCGAAGTCCTCTGTATTTTGGGCCGTCTGTTTTTGTTGTTGCTGTGCAAACGGAAACATCTTAGTTATTTGTCTGTGTAAATCAGACTGTGTGTGTGTGTGGGTGTGCGTGTTTATCTTGGCCAGCAGGCTATATAGTTTATCTATGTGCATGTTGTTGTTGTTGCTGCTGCTGCTGCACGCTTGTTGTCGACTTTTGCGCACTTATTCCATATTTAAGAGGCAATTTATATTCCCTTTTTTTGTGTGCCTGTATTTTCTTTCTTGCTGTGCAACTATGCCGCAAATGCCATTCAACTTTCAGCTACAGTTTCCGTTCGCGACTGTTTCTGATTTCTCTGGCCAGGCCTGGCCGGCCACAGACACACAAAAACTGCTGCTGCTGCTGTTGCTGTTGCACGCCCACACACACGCACACACGCCCCATGTCCTGGCTGCCGCCTGCCTAAGCTGTCCATCCCTTTTGCCTGTCAGTTTTTAGACTCTGCCTGTGTGTGTGTGTAGCCAATTATCATTTTCATTCTCGTTTCTTCTTTTTATATATATTTTGAATGAATAAAAACGACTCTTGACTCCAGACAGGATGTTGCCTGTCGCGCATAGCTATACACAGGATGTATCTAAATGGCATTTCCATAGCCACGCTTTGGACTTTTGCACCTTGCGGCAATTGCAGTGCGTTTCTTTTTTTTCGCTTTTCCACATTTTTATTGTGTCATAAATTATTCAAACGTAAACATCATCAGCAGCAGTGGCAGCAGCGGGCGGCAGCGAGCGGCAGCAACGTTCTTTCTCATTATCAACAGCACCACGCGCTTAACACACACCCACACACACACACACCACGCACACATTCAGTGAGCGAGATATGCAGTACATTTCTGTACTTTTTCTACATATATATATATATACAGCGTCCTTCTGGCTGTCCCGCACAGACGCTGATGACGCGGAAACAGGCGCAGGACGACGCACTTGGCGCATAAATAAAGGCGCCGCCGCCATCACTTGATAAATAAGTAGTGCACGTAGGCATTCGGCATAATGAAGCGAGCTGAAAACCCTGGCACCCCCAGTCGC